AAATACAAAGGACTTGAAAGAGCCAAAATGATTTTGAAAAATAAAAGTAAAAAGAAAACCCAACAAAATAATAAGTTGGGAGGATATAAGCAACATGATTTTCAGAATATCTACCTGGAAGATGTGAAACTTGATCTTTACCTCACACCATATTAAAAAATCAACTCAGAATGGATTAAATGTTGAAACCCAAAGCTACAAAACATCTAGAAGAAAACATGGGAGGAAAATCTTTGAAAACTTGAGGTAGGCAAACATGTCTTAAATAGGGTATGAGAAACATAAAACATAAAGGAAAAATTGGTGAACTAGATGTTATCAAAATTAAAAACTTCTACCCTTCGAATGATATCATTAAGAAAATGAAAAGAGAAATCAAACCTGGGGAAAAATAGTATAAACCTAACATAAGACTCATAAAGTAAAGAACTCCAACTCATTAGTTAAAAAATAAATAATTCACTTTTAAAAAGGCAAAATATTTGAACATATACTATAAAAACAAGATATGAATGACTAATGGGCACATGAAAACATGCCCAACATCATTAGTCATCATAAAAGTGCAAAATAAAACCACAGTTGAACTACAACTACTCATTTATTAGAATGGCTAAAATTTTTATACTGATAATACCAACTGATGGGAAGGACATGGGACAACTGTCGGATGGAACACACTGGAAAGAAGTTTCAGAATTACTTTTAACTTAAATAGTTATCACATGAACTAGCAATTCCACTCCTAAGTATTTCCCAACAGCAATGAAAGTGTATTTCCATACACACACACACACACACACACACACACACACACACACAAACAAACACACACACAAATTGTCCTTGGAAGCTTTATTTATAATACCCAAACCCAAATGATCATCAATGGGTAAATGAACATGTATATCCATGCAATGAAATAATTCTAGCAATAAGAAGGAATGAATTATTGATATATGTAACAACATGGGTGAAGTCTTAAAATATGCTGAGGACAAGTCAGATCCAAAATACTATATACTGTAGAATTCGATTTTCAAGAAACCAAAAAAAAAGACAAGTCTAATCTATATAGATGAAAATCAGCTCAGGGGTTGCCTGGAGCCAGAGTTGGGAAGAGAGCCTGGGAATGGGCATAGTGAACTGGTGGGGTTGCTGGAAATGGAGTACCGCTTGCTTGTGGTGGTGGCTCTGTGGGTGTACACCTTTGTGAAAACTTATCAAATGGTGCACTTAAAGTGATGCATTTTATTGTTTAAATAGTTTACCTCAATAACATTGATTTAAAAAAAAACTGTGGAGGAAAAAGGAGGTAAAGTAAAGACGTTACGGGTGGAGGCTGGGTTATAGAGTGGCCAGGGACGGAGTCTGAGGACCTCCGAGGATGGAATGCCAGTGAGCTCTGAGGATGCGTCGTGAAGTGACCTATGTGGCTAATACCTGTAGTCTCCCGAGTCACATTCCTAACAAGGAAGGGCAAGACTTTGAGAGTTTTTGTGGCCTTACGATAATTTTAAGAGAATAAAGAGTGTACTCATACAGGTGAGGGTTGACTATTTCTCACAGAGTGTGGTTGAAAATCTCCCAATATTAGGTTGGCCAACTGAAAGCAAATAAGAACCTGGACTGGTCATGGAACGCTGGAGCAGGAAGGATGCCCCATCCAGAACCTGGTCACGGGTGCTGTCAAACAGCAGCCTGGGGCCATTTCCCAAAGATGTGTTCTGCGGTCAGTGTTAAGTCCTTATTGCAAATCTGACAATCGGGATGTGGATATGCAAGAAGAGTTGAGGACACTTGACTCTTTAGATCATCTGAAACATCCTACTCGCTCCCAACTCCCTCACAGGACAAATTTGTAATCTTTCTCCTTAGGAGACCATCTCAGGAGCTATGTTTGTGTATGCAAAGGTAGGGGGCGGTGACAAGGTGCCAAGGAATTTTGGGAGGAAAAGGTGCCTGTTGTCCCATGCCCATATAGGTTATTTTTCACAGCATTTGCAGAGTTGGCAATTAAGGGAATGATAGCAGCTATCAGTTGTTATAACACCATTTGTTAAGAATTTCCTTATTCAGTGAATATTGGCCAATTTATAAACTTCTGTCCTATAAATCTATATTTCTCTTCCTATGCCAACAGTATATACTGTCTTGATTACTGTAGTTTTATAGTAAGGTTATACCTGTTTCTTCACTTCCTTTTAGCCGTGTTTTGCAGTTTTAGTAAAGTGTATTGCTAACTTTACTTTGCTAACTTTATCCCTAAGTATTTCCTATTTTGGTTGCTATTATAAGTTGTATTTAAAATTTTTAATACCTTTATTTTTATTTATTTTTATGTGTTGCTGAGGATTGAACCCAGTGCCTCGCACGTGCTAGACGAGTACTCTACCACTGAGCCACAACCTCAGCCCCTATAAGTGGTTTGTTTATATTTGGTTTCCAATTGTTCTACAAAACTGTGGAACCAACCTTCAGTAGATGAATGGATAAAGAAAATGTGGTATATATACACAATGGAATATTATTCAGCATTAAAAGAGAATAAAATCATGGCATTTGCAGGTAAATGGATGGAGCTGGAGAAGATAATGCTAAGTGAAATTAGCCAATCCCCAAAAAAACAAATGCTGAATGATTTCTCTGATTTAAGGATGCTGATCCATAATATGCTGCGGGGATGGTGGTGGTGATGGGAAGATTAAATAAATTCTAGATAGGGCAAAGGGGAGGGAGAATAAGGGTGGGGGCATGGGGTAGGAAAGATGGTGGAATGCAATGGTCGTCATTACCCTAAGTACATGTATGAAGACATGAAGGTCTTAAGTACCTGTATGACTCTACTTTGTGTACAACCAAAGACATGAAAAATTGTGCCCTATATATGTAATATGAATTGTAAAACATTCTATTGTCATATATAACAAATTAAAATTTTTAAAAAATGTTTAGCACCATAGTGAAAGATTACTATAAAGAATAAGAATGCAAGAATATCAGCTTTCACCACTTTCCCACATTGTACTGGAAAATTTAGTTGGTGCAATAAGAAAAAACAATAAGAGAAAGAGAAATTTTAAAGTTTTAAAAGGAAAATGTGAAACAATAAGGCAAAAGGAAAAGCATTTGTCAATTGTAAAAAAGAACAAATCACTCGCACAAGCAATAAAACAGGTGAATGTAAAAAACCCTGTGGTGAACAACAGGAGCCAGGTTCGTTTCATTTATATGAAATCCTGTAGAATGTAAAACTGATCTCCACTACCAAAAACAAATCAGTGTTTGCCAAGGGACAGAGTAGGAGGACTGACTAGGAAGGGATGCAGGGAACCCTCCAGGGTGATGGAATATTCTCTTATCTCATCAGGGATGGAGGTTATACCATTGTATGCATTTGTCAAGCTTTTTGGAAACTTCACTTAAAGAGATGTCCTTAATGTTGCATATAAAGTCTGCCTCAATAAAGTTGATAGCATAAATTTCTAGTTCATCTTTGAATTCCCCTGGCCGTTTTATAACTGGTTTGTTGGAACAATAGAGAAATGAAGAGTGGTGCAAGTGGAATAAACTAAAGCAAAATGCAATTAATTTCTTTGTTTAATTGCTTCAAAAAGTGACTGACTGTCAAAAGCAAAAGTAGCAATGTTCTGTGTGTTTAGAACATATATAAAAGTAGAAGGTTTGAGACAGCACACAGGATGGAGGATCTACTGGTACAAGTTTCTTTTACACATAAAGGTTAGGTTGTAATTAATTAAAAATGTATATCATAAACCCAAGGACAACCACTAAAGAACAATAATAAGCTAAAAGAGAGGATAACATAGAATCATATTTTTAAAACTCTTTTTTTCTGAAAATTTAAGCAAGTTTTAAATTTTTTTTCCTTGTGAAAACACTGTTTTGTAGCTTTGTGTGTGTGTGTGTGTGTGTGTGTGTGTGTGTGCGTGGGTGTGGTGTTAATAGAGATTCAACCTAAGGGTGATCTACCACTGAGCTATATCCCCAGCTCTTACTTTATTTTATTTTGAGACAAGATCTCACTACCCTGGCTGGCCTCAAACTTTCGATCCTCCTGTCTCAACCTCCCAAGTCACTGGGATTATAGCCATGCACCACTGTGCCCAACTGCTCCCTCTACTTACTTAACAATATATCTTAAGAATGACACCATGTCAACATGTAGAGCTTACTTGTTTCCCTTCCTGACTCATTTCCTTTCCTAAAAAGGAAAATGTATGTGCATTATACATTTTTATATTTTATTCAACCAGGCCCTTATTGATGAATGTGTAAACTAAAGAATGATTGCCAGTCAATCTTTGGGACAGATTCCTAGAGTAAGATTACTGAATAAAAGGGGAGAGCATAAGTACCTTTGATGGCTATTTATAGTAGCACTGTACTAATTTTTCATCCTCACAAGAGACTTATGAGACTTCTACTTTTTCCAGGAATATTGTCAAAATCTTAGGTTTTTGCTTTTCTAAGTAAGTAAAATACGGCATTTAGGAATAGTTTTAGTTTGTATACATTTTAGATAGTAGATGAAATACCTTTTAATTGTGTGAAGGCCAGGCATTGGTCATCTATCTACTCACATTGTGCCCATTTTTATATTGAAATATATTAGACTTTTTCTTCTAAAGTTTGAAGAGCTCTTCATGTATTATAAGTAGTTGTTCTTTTCCTGAGCTATGTCTTTTATTTTTTGACTTTGTTTATAAAGGGGTTTTTTTCCCTGCCATGCAGATTTTTTTTTATTTCAGCAAACTATTGTTGAATTATTCAGTAGCAAAAATTTTATACAACTCCAGATTCCTGTGCACATTCACATCATTCCATTGCACCAGGGGAAAAACCCTGGACCAAAGTATGAAAATCACTTTTGGAACTGTCTGCTCAGCTGAATTTTATTTTACTATTTTATATGATTAATTTATTCATTCAACAATATTTATTGAGTTTCCACTCCAAGCTAAGCATCATTATTAGGAGTCCTGGGAGCAGAATTGGCTGCATTTAAAGGTTAAATGTTCCTGTCCCTGCCTGGTTTTTGAGATATGCAATTTTCATGATGGCAGCCTTGACATCCTTATTTCTCAGGGTATAAATGAGCGGGTTAAGAATTGGTGTGAGAATAGCATAGGCCACATTGCCCATGATGTGGAAGTCCAGGGGCAGGTCAGCCCTGTAGGCCACATAGGCCACAGCAATGGACGAGTAGTAGGTGCCCACCACCAGGAGGTGGGAGCTGCAGGTGGAGAAGGCCTTGGAACGTCCTTCTCGGGATCTGATGTGAAGCACCGAGGCCAGGATGTGAGCGTAGGACAGAAGCACCAGGAGAAGGGGGAGGAAGGAGACCACCATGGCGATGCAGAAGCCCATGAGAGTCTGTGGGGTGGTGTCGGAGCAGGAGGCCTGGACTAGAGCAAAGTGGTCACAGAAGCAGTGATAGATGTAGGCAATGTTGTTATATGCCATCTGGGAAGTCTTTACCACCGCTGGGACGGGCAGGAGGAGGGCAGTGAGCCAGGCACTGGCCGCCAGTGCAGCATTAGTCTGTGGGGTCATGTGGACGGGGTAGTGCAGTGGGCGGCAGATGGCCACGTAGCGGTCATAGGCCATGACCACCAGGAGGAAGGCTTCTGAGCATGTAAAGCTTTGAAAGAGGTACATCTGCAGTAAGCAGGAAGGAAAGCTGAGGAAGTGATCCCCAAGCAGGAACAGGGACAGCATCTTGGGGACGGTAGTTGTGGTGAAAAGAATATCTAAGGCTGAGAGGTTGATCAGAAAGAAGTACATGGGCTTGTGAAGGCTTGGCTCTGCCACCAYGGCCACCAGGATCAGGGCATTACCTGTGAGAATGAGAAGGTAGAACAGGAGGAAAATAAAGAACATGGGGAGGAAGAAGAACTCTGGTAGAGAGGGGATGCCCACCAGGTAGAAGACGGGGGTGCTGTCCACTGAGCCGTTACAGGTTGTGGCCTCCATAGTGAGACAGAGCTGGATTTCTGGAAAATGGACAGCTGGAATATCTGGACACTGAGAACATCTGGAAACCACAGCAACAAAGGATTTTCAAGTGATAATTCTGTAATGTTTACTCTGTAGTTAACATGAACACAATTATTTATAACCAACTCTTGAGGGCTGAGGGAGGGCTGTGATTTCTATCATGTGAATCCAGAATTTGTCAAATATTAATTATTAATTAATGATCTAGTAGATAGAAGGCTTTATGATGTGTTTAGGTGATCATGCTGAAGGTGAAGAAGAAAGGCAAAATTCCTGTTTTCTGAGAGTTTACATTTGACTGGGAAACCAGATCTAAATAGTTGGATATTTAATCATGACTGAATTCTTTGGGAAGACTTTCTGGTTCCCATCTTAGGTTGCATGATGCATGGTTTTGTGTTGTGAGATCTCTTGAATCAAGTCATTAAGCTTGTGTCCTGACTTTTGCACTCACTTCAAGATCCACCATGTGGCTTTGGAGGGGTTCCTGTGTCCAAGGTTCACTGTAATACGCTGCTCAGATACTTAGTAAGCTTCTCCCTTCCCTGTGTTCTTTGAGTTGTGGTTCTTCCTGACTCCATTTAATCTGGGTGTCTGAACTTCTGCTACTGCCAAGGATGTTACAGGCCATGGTAGCTGAACTTTCCCACTGCGACAACTAGGAAAACCTGGATAAATTACACAAATCATATTTTTAAATAAATTGAAGAAACCTAAGTGCATTAAGAATAAAACTGAACTCTTCAGGTTGGGACCTGGGGGGCTCCAAAGCAAATTAACAATCACCACTTGTTCTTGCAAGAGTGCCGTTGGACATAGCAAAACCAATTTGGGGGAGCAAACTGGGACTGGTGAAAGGATCCATTCACCAAAATTTCATTGAAATCCATTTGTAAAATTTTTTCAGCAGCAACAATCACCAGCTCTTTGTTTCTCTGGAAATATCTGGTTTGAGGGCCATCATGGGTTTTGAACTTGGACAGAGCAGAGAGAGAAAGAAGCAAACCTTTTATCAGTCAGAGAAAGTCTTGCAAAATAGATTAGAAATTCAAATGGGCCATCTAAATTCTGGAGCTATGCAAGGGAAGCTGGAGAGCTAAAGGGCTTCTAAAAAAACAAAATCTCTCATGATTTTGTGATGCTTAAAAGACTAGTGAGAAAAATGAAAGTAGCTAAATCATTTTAAAAATAAAAAATAAAAGAGGGCTTGCCTCAAACACACTATTATACCCTTCAAAAGATTCCCCAAGCATTGAAGATATGTGAATGGGGGTGGATGCCATGGAGGGGGTAAAGGGCAGCCAAGGAGCTACTCAAACCCTCCAAAGGAAGAAACAAATCTACTAGTCTTTCAGGGCTGAGGGGACAGATCAATAATGTTATCAATTCAAAATACAGGACAGTCATGCCTGGAAAAAGAAACAGACCAAATTTAGTAAACCCTACTAGAACTAAAACCCAGCCTGACCTAACTCAAGCATCAAGGTGATAAGCTCCTTACTCAACCTGCCTAATAGAGAAAAGGGAAAATATATCTGGTGAGACATGTCATGTAGGATCTCCATGAATTTAACATAACATTCTACCCACAATAAAAATTATTAGATATGCAAAAGGAAAGAAAGCGTGACCAAGAGTTAAGAGAAAAAACATAATATAAAAGTTGACAAACAAATGATCCAGATACCTGAGTTAGTAAACAAGGACTTTGGTATAACTATGTTTTAAAAAAAATAGAAGAAAGTGTTGGCAAAATGGACTTTAAAATAGAGAATTTCAACAGAAGAGTGAATTCTATTTTTAAAAGTCAAACATTCTAGAATAAAAATATCCAATATTTGAAATTAAGAATTCATTGGATAAACATTAGTAGCAAACTGAACATAATGGAAGACACATTAGAGACCTGAAAAATAGATCAGTGGAAAATATTAAAGTACCAGAAAGTGATAAAGAGTGCATGCTGTGCAATTTAACTGATATTAACTGACAGGCAAAACTCATCTATGGTATCATAAGTCAATACAGTGATTGCTTACAGGGGTGAGGATTGATAAGAAGGTGGTCAGAGTACACTTTCTGAAGTGATGGAAATGTTCTATATATTGAGTTGAGTGGTGGTTACATGGATGTTTGTTTATATTTATGAAACCACATTGAATTATACCTAAATCTGTGCATTATCTTCTGTGGTAGATTTTATGTCAATTAAAATACAATGCCAGATGTGATGACACATGCCTATAATTCCTGTAGCTCAGGAGACTGAGGCAGGAGGATCAAAAGTTCAAAGGCAGCCTCAGCAACTTAGAAAGGCCCTAAGCAACTTAACGAAACCCTGTTTCAAAATAAAAAATAAAAAGAGCTAGGGATGTGACTCAGTGGTAAAATGCCTCTGGGTTCAATTCCTAGTACCAAATAAATGAATAAATAAATAAAACTGCACACACACACAACCCAAAGTGAGAAGGTAAGATCTTGGATGGGAGAAAATATTCTCAATGCATATATCAAAGGGCATGTATACAGCATATATACAAATCTCCCACAAGCAATAAGAAAGGAACAGATGAACTAACAGAAAAATGGGAGAAAGACTTAACTAGGCAGGTACCTCAAAGAGACCATCCAAATGGTGAATAAGCACAGGAAAAAGTGATCAATATCTGTAGCCTTCTTAGAAATGTAAATTAAAACGTAATGATAACACTACATACTCACCAGGATCGCTAATATGTGAAGAGCTTCCAAGTGTTAGTGAAATTAGGAGTGATTAGTGAGTGCTCTCACACATTGCTGGTAACTGGTAAACCACTCTGCATAATGGTTTGGCAAAACCTCCTAGAACTTGTGACTCAGCAATCCTGCTACTGGACACATAGCCAAGGAAAATGAGTGCTATGTCCATAGCCCTAAAAATACACCCCTAAAATTGAAAATGTGTCACACAAAAACTTGTACATGAATGTTCATTGCAGAATTATATGTTAGTCAAAAAGTATAATATTAAAATATTCATCAATGGATGAATGGAAAAACAAAATGTGGTTTGTCCATGAATATTACTCAGTCATAAAAGGAAAAGACATGGATGAATCTTTTAAACATTATGCTGAATGAAAGAAGCCAAATATAAAGAGCACATATTGTATGATTCCATTTATAGAATATGTCCAGAATAGGCCTCTATAGAGGCAGAAAGATTAGTGATTGCCAAACTAAAAAATGGGGGTTGCAGGGTGCAGGGGGGACTGCTTAAGATATAGGAGTAATGAAAATGTATTGGAATTTGATAGATGTAATGAGTGTACAACATTGTGTAATGTACTAAAAGTCATTAATTGGCATAGTTTAAAATGGTAATTTTTATGTCATAAATTTTGCCTTAATAGAAAATGTACCTACCAGCCTTTACTTACAGTTCCCAAATGAAACAGCCCAAATATCCATGATAGTAAAATGGACAGATGGTAGTATAGTCATACAATGAGGTACTAAATGGCTATGAAAAATGATGAGGCACTGTTACAAGCGACTTAATATATACAGCTCACAGTCATAATATGGAATAAGAGAAACCGGACCCAATGATTGCATGCTACATGATTCCATGTAGACAAAGATCAAAAACAGAAAAAGTTCGTCCATGATGATGGTGGTAGCAACAGCAGCTACACTGTGGTCGAGTTTTGGTTGGGTCTGGGGCAGAGAGGCTTCTGGGTTGCTGGAAATGTGCTATTTATCTAGCTATATCTGTAGCTGATCTCTAAATAGCCATATCTATGCCTAACATTTGTGGGCTTTATTTTTCTGTGTTCCTTAAACACATACAACTGAATATATTGCTTGCCTCTAGATTGTGACTGTTGTCACGTTACAATAAAAGGAACAGCAGAGGATGCTTTTTGTGGGGGAGTCACTTCTGATTGGAGTCTAAGTTACAGGTGTATTGTCGGCAACGTTACATAAAATGCCCAATTGCCCCTTGATGGAAGGGCATCCTTGTGTGATACTGTGGTTTTTCCTTCCTCCTGGCTGCTACTGTCATTCAGCAGGTGTTTCCAATTGACCATTTCATGACTAGGCTTCCCTTGCCACAGATAGGTAGGTACTATAGTAATGTAGACTTAGGAGCCATCGTCACTAGAGAAGAACACAGTGTTGTGACAAGAGCCCAAAGGCCAAAGCCCCACCTATGAAGTTGCTTCCCCTTATGGACCCACAGATCTGGGGGTCTCTAACTGAGGAAGAATAGGACTTCTCTGCTATTTTGGATGTTCTCCTGAATAAACGAGCCAGGAGCGAGCCTGTGTGCACATGGGTATCATTGCCTCTTTAGTACCGATGATTTTGAGATTACTGCCTCCCTGATTTTTTCAGAACTCTCCCATTTCTCTTAGCTCCCATAAAACACCTGTCATGCCACTCAATTGCAAAAATGTCAAACCTGAAAATGTCCAGTCAGCTTTTTCCTTTACAAAAATGGACAAATGACAAAAAAAAAAAGTTTAAGGCTCTGCCCAAGTTCCTGTGGCCAGTCAGTCATGGGTCCAGGACTGGAGTCCAACCCTCTCTCCATCAATCCTTTCTTCTCTAATCTGGAGAATTGGGAAGCTGAGGTTTTCATGAGGCGAGAGATTGAGGCACAGGTTTTCTCTTCCCTTCCACATTTCTTTGCTGCTAGTGCCATTTCACTGCCTGATCTCCACATTCCAGAGTTTGTTTGTTTGTTTTTTTCTCTTAAGCATGTGGCCTGGTTCTCCACCAGAGAGTGAAGGCTGGTAAAGTGTCTTTCTAAATGACACATGGGACAGTCACTCTATTGTGAATGCCCCCTTGAAAGAGAGTTCTAAGGGTCGGCCCCATTCCCCAGGCAGCAAACCAAAACCCCTGCACCTCTGTGGAAGAGGGTTAACCACACCCTGTTAACCACACCCAACTGCCAAGCCCACCGCTGTGTTTTTCTAAACCCAAAACAGATGCTAGCTATATTTCCCTGAATGTCATTATG